CCCAGCAAGAGATAATGGCACGTCAGGGGCAAACTCGCTCTTGCTCGCCGGCCCACCGGCTTTTGCCCAAAGAAGAAGAAGAAGAAGAAAGTTGGAGGCTGCGGTTCTAACCCAATCAAGATGAAATACAGTGCGGCACCATCGCCGCCGAAAACATTCTTCTTCTGGTGTGGCACGCCCACCCTCTGCACAATGTTATTTATTATTTCTAGCGGCGAGCAAGGAGAAGTTGGCCAAAATTTTGCTAATAGGAATTGAGGGGATGCTCGGAGAAAGTTGGAGGCTTCAAAATATCACCGCACATCCGGCAACTAAAATAAGGTGAAATAGGAGAATCCATGACCAAATATAATATTAAGGAGGAATCTGTGGAGGGCTAAGGAGGCTTTGAATCATTAATAATTTTGTACTGCCCAAATGGACAAGTCAGAATAAAGATTTATAACTTTGATTTAGATTGTAAAATAATTTTTAAAATATATTCTATATAAATGTATATTTTTGTATTGACCGAGAAGAATAAATAATAAAAATAATATTACTGAAGTGTTTTATAAATAAAATTTACAACATTTAAAAGTAAATTATTTTAAAAGATTAATTATTAATAAAATGTTTTCTATCATTATAGACTTATTCAGTAAATATAGTAATTAAAATATTTTTAATTATTATTTTTATCTTATTAAAAGTAACATCATAACATTAACTTTCATTTGATTAAACCAGTGGTCCACAATGGATTTGAATTTTTATGAAGAGTAATTTATAAATAAATAAAATATCCCAGTTGTACCATCTCTACTTACATTTGCTTTACCTAAGTAAATTTAGAAGTTGGTTGCCATTACTAAATTTTATAAAACAATATAGAATTACTAAAAATTTTACCAAGGATAGTAAAAATTGTTTACAAACTCGTTAATAAATTCTCTTATTGTTAGTAAAATTGTTTGAAAATTTTTAGTAATTGGAATTAATGGAAATTCGATGGCCCACCCCCGCACAAGATCGGCGCTGCTCTCCACCTGAGCGCCCAAAGAACATTTAGAGCACATTTTTTTTTATAAGTGTGCAGAATGAGTGTGTTATGGCCGCGGCCAGTGTTATTTTTCTTCTTTTTTGCGGGGAAAAAAACGCGGATAGTCATTTGAAAAACAACTTGTTTTCCCCTCGCGTCATCTCTACGCCCGCGGACTGATTTTTTAAAATTATTTCAGGTATATTATTATTATTTGTTCTTCTCGGTCAATACAAAAATTTTTAATTTCGGAAAAAAGAGAAGAAAGGGTTTACAACGAGCAGATGTCTGCTAAAACGCCCGACATCAAAAGAGACACGGCCGCCGCGGTAAACCCACACTATCGAAAAAAAAAGAACGATATCACAAAGTATTTAAAATCTTGACCTTGAATTACTGCCACAAATGCTCCTTGCAGAGGGAGGGAAAGCTCTATTGAAATAATTTATATCCAGTGATACACCTCTAAATTGTTAACTGAAAATATTAACCTACCCAAGCAAAAATATTAAATTGTATTTTTAAATTTTCAGTTCAAATCGATTCTCCGATTGAGAAACTTTCTATAAAATCATCTATAACTGAAACTGCGTTCAACCTCTTCTGAGCTACGGACTATTACAGGTAGTTAATTTGTTCTTGCATATTTAATAATTATTAAATTCCAATTAAATCGGAGTACATACACGGGAATGATAATTATAAATTTAAATTAATATTTTATTTCATTTAATCTGGTGTAATCCAAAATGTATAATAATATTTTTTTTCAGACATCCCGACCTGACAAGTTAGTTAAATTTGCTATGATGGAGAAGACAGTTCCACGCAGTGCAATTATTATCATTATTTATGATTTTTATGCTCTAAATATGTTGTATTAAAAAAATATGACATAGAATTTAAATTTTTAAAATTAAAGGAGCTATGAAAATTAAAATTGGATCAATATTATTTTAGTTCAAGCTTTCCAGTGGACCATAGTAAAAAGATAATAAATTTAAATTACCAAGACTGACAAACAGGTTAGCAAAATTTAAGTACGTGCTTTGCAAATATGGTAATTACTTTAAGTTAGTAAAATGGAATTACTAACGTTGTAATCCAGCATTTTGCTACAAAGCGTTAGTAAATTGAGAGTAATTTGTTTTAAAGAAGGAACAACTGGGCTATATTTTTATGAAACCTGCGATTGTAAAAAACCCTTACAAATTTTTCAGATTTGAAGTTTATCAACCTTTTAGGCAGGGATTTTATAGCATAAAATATACTTCATTATCCCTTCAGAGACGAATTCTCATGAAATTGTACTGCAAAACGATAACACTCTCGAGACTGTATAATGGAGTCGTTAAAATATCCGAGAGCTCGTTTTAAAACGGATTTGGCGTGACATTAAGGGCCATCAGCAGACGCGTAAATATGGGACATGTGCGCAGTCGGTCCATCCCTCCGCGAAAGCACCCTTCAAATTTGCAAAACAGTTTGCCCGACGAGAGACGCGTGTAAGGCTCTTGGAAACATCAGCGTGTCCATTCTGCGATAATCTCGGCGCAATTATCTCCCGCCACGTTGTAATTCTCGCTCGCTCGCCGTCACGACTCGAGAGAGCTTTTGTTGCGAATAATTGTAATGGCGCTCGCAAAACTTGTTGTTGCTCCATTTGTTTTTCAGCGCTTTTAATTGCGGACGCTTTTACGGACGCGTCTCTTTTTAATTACTGCACTCAACCAGGTTGAAGATTTATTTTAATCGAGACGCCGTACAAATTATGTAATTTTAAAAAAATTGCTCTATTGCAAGAAATGAGGTCAAAACTTTATTCATCAAAATAGTTTCTGTTTTTGACTATTTTTGTTCAAATTTGAGAAAAATTGTTTTTTTTTCCGTCTAATGAAACTAAAAATATTTTATTCTTAAATTAAAAGTCAATTTGAATTTTATCCTTATTATTAGAAAAGTCACAAATTTTGTTGTAGTTTTTAACAATTGTAAGTATGATATTTTCAATTAATTAATTATTAAAAGTGAAATCAAAATGTATATAATTTTCCAGTATTTAAAAGAACTTGGCGATGATGATGAAATTTCCAGCTTGTTTCTCGCCAGCTGGACAGACAGACACGCAACTGGGGAAAAAGCGAGATCGAAATCCGCCACGCTCGGACAAAATAAATTGACTTGCGAGCACGAAGGGATTTATTAAACCTCGGCTGTGTCTGGCTGCTCCGAAACACGCGCAAAGAGTTGCTCCTGAACTATTTGAGTCACGTTGATCGAATTTATTATATTCGGACGGAAAACGTGCAGGCGCATTGTGCTTGCCCTAGGATCACGCGATTATTTCACAGGGGCACGAGCGTGCGAGGATTCGCAGAAAGAAAAGTTGACTTCGGTGGCTTTTGTTGGCGAGACACAGAAATAAATGAACGTAAAGCCGTGAGAACCAAGATAAAAGTATGATTCATACGTACACAACCTGACGTTGGGAATGAAAATATATTTCTTCAAAAAAAAAGAAGAAAAATGGAAACGAAAAAAAACTTAATAATGGTGAGGATAATACAGCATAAAAAACTAAAAGCATCGATTTATTTTTATTTTTTAAATAGCAGTAAGAAGAGCCGTACGTCAGGTATATATTTTATCATTTTTTATGAAAGCTTTATTTTATCCTGAATTATTTTCTTCTTTTTTTTCTAATCCTAATCAGTTCTTGTAAAGTTTAAGAAATGTACTTGTCAATCAATATATTAAATCTCTAGTTTCTATATAGGTTCTTGAAGTTGTTGTTGTGGAACCTTTTGGCACTCGAGGTGATCATGTTTTAATGAAATAAAATTTTATTCTTAAAATTGAATTAATTCCAATATTTGTTATAAAAATTTAAGGAGAGAATATTTTAATTTATTTAAAAAAGTAATTTAATATAATTTGCATGTTTATTTTTCAAAATGTAATTTAAAATTGGTTAAATGTCAGCTTATTGAATTCCAACAGCTCATGAATTAGGGTTGCAACCCGCAACCAAAACTAGTTGAGCAGGGATTTTTGCAGAAAAAATAAAGTTGCTCATCTCCACCGAGGAAGCCGGATTTTATTTCATCAAAAAATATTGAATCTCGCTACATTTTTTTATCTTATTAGCATTTTTCCAAAATTAAAGATTATTATTTTGTTATCTTTAGGACTAAATTAGAATAATGAAAATTAATTTTTTGAAGATTCTAAAATAGAAATTTATGAAATTATTTGCAGTAAAAAACAACCCCTAAACACATGTCATTTCTCATTTCTTTGAAATTTTGTCTTCAGAATAATAAATAATTTTTATTGTTATTTATTTTTCTCAAATCAAGTTAAGAATTAAAATGAACAAATTCATAATATGAATTTCATTTTCATGTTAACTAATCTTATATAATTATGGGAATGATTTTTTCATTCAAATGAGTCTAGTTATTTTTTTTGCCCATTTCCGTAAATAAATTTTTTTATTACATTTCAGCACATAGGCCGCGCCATCGTGGCGAAGAACCAAAAGTTTTGGCTTTTGTGTGTGCGTTCGACATGCAAATTACTTTGTAGCGAGTTTGCGGCGCGAAGATTCATGTGTTTGTTGTTTCTGCGGATTTGCCAGGCGCACTTTTGAATGCAAATATGGCTCACTCGTTCTCGTCTTGCCTGTTTGTTTGTCTGTTTGCTCGGCTTGCAAAAGGGGCCAATAAAAATGTCTCGGTTTATATTCGGCGCGTCTCGAGATTTGCACACGAATCGCTCTGCAGGCGCACTGGGAACACGTCCCAAGCCCCAAATATAAAACACCGAGTTTTGTGCGCTCAACTTTTTCCTGTTCAACCTCCAAAGGCGGAACATGAAATCGCAATAAAGCGAGCAAAGTACTTGAATATCGGAAAATAATATTAATCGGTAAAAGTTAAAATTTCGATCAGAAAAATTGAAATGGATTTTCACATACCTTGACAGCTGTAGCCGTTGGGGTGGAGAAGGTAGCCCATTCTGCAGTCACACTCGAACATTCCGTCGTGAAGCTCAAAGCAAACGTGCTCACAAGGGCTATCCGAGTCGCACTTGCCTGAAACAAATTAAATTAAAAATTAAAACTTCATACTTTCAGCTTTATAATTTTGGCAATTTTTATTTCCAACGAAATATGTATTATTAAAATCAATTAATTTTTTTTAATTCAACTTTTTTTTAATGAAATTTTTTATAAAATCAAAAATTGTAGTTTTTGACCAGGTGGAAACGGTTTGTAGCAAATCTGGGGCTATGAGTTTTTATTAATGATCACTTTTTTGCAAACAATATTTTAATATAGAATTAATCTATTTCTAAAAACCCTTTGATTATTTTTAATTTGATAATAATGGTGATTCAAAATATTATTGAATACCTTATTTTCTAAATAATACTCCTCATTACAGTTCATGTTGGCTAATTTTGTTTCTTTCGCATGATTTTAGAACATTTTGACAAATGCAATCGATACTTTTCCATCGTCATTCGCCTGCGTTTTTTCCCATCACAGTTGATATGAAACTTGAGAAGCGCCGAATTGAACAAAAGCTGCCGGAATAGAGGACGGAATCGAGCAGCTCGTGCTGTTAGCTTTTAATTTGGCCGCAGCGCGTGTGCCACTTTTTTGCGCTGTTGATTTTCCGGGGCCGCATACCGATTTTTTCCACTTTCCAGCGTGTATGGGAAGAGAGGGTGAAAAAATTATGCACTGCTTTATTGTACCTTTATACTCGCGTGCGCCGAGTGGATGTTAATTATTAAAATCTAATTACTCTCCCTGCGCATTTTGCAGCCCGCGCTTGTTAATAACAAATTGCACTTTTCAAACTCGCGCGGCCCATAAGTGAATCTCTTCAGGATACTGCTGTGCTCATGGAAGGAAAAAAAATACAAAAAATGTAAGAATTTATATTTTCATGAGCAATTTTAAGTTTGGTATTGGCTTTTTTATTAGAGCTTTCCGGTTTCCTTTTATTGATGCAGTAATAATACGAAATATGAAGCATGTTATTGTTAATGCAGGTTTAAAATATATTGCATGTGATGAGAGATGCATTAATATGTATGTATTGTGTATTACGTTGTTTAAATTAATATCTTCGTAGAAAATTAATTTTTTTAATGGCAAACATAATTACTCTTTATTTCTGTTTAATAATTGATATTTATTGATTTAATTTATTTAACGAAAGGAACAAAAGGAGATTTGGATCTTAATCTGTTAAAACTTTACGTGATTATAAAAATGTTTCTAACAAGTTCCTAAATAAATAATAATAACTTAAAAATACATATGGATACAGAAAATTATCTTGATTATGAGATAGATTTGACGACCGAGACCAAAACTGGTAAAACCATTTGTTTGCTTAAACAAAAGTTTAATATAAAAATGCATTTAATTTCTTTTGGTTAAAATACTAAAAATAAGAAAGTATTATTATATTATTATTATACACATTATTAATAATTATACTTTTAACTTAAGTGAAGCCTGATTTGCTTCACTATAAATCTCCACAAGTCCCAATTTCTTCTCTCAAATTAAAAATGCATGCAAACAAAAATTACCAAATCTTGCAGAATTTTTATAACTTAAAATATAAACACACAAAATGGGCTGAATTAATTTTGCACGCAAATCACTTTTAGGCGAAGTGCTGACGCAGTAAAAAAGCGGCGTGCTTGGCAAACACGCCCGCTGGAGAGGGTTGGCGAGGGTTTTTTCGATGCACCCAGCGACCACCGAAGCCACTTTTTCTGCGCCATCGAGCACTCGAAAGAGTCGCCGGCCCTCGCAGAGTCCTGAACTCTTTTATTCTCGGTCGGGATCAAGTCGCCGCCGCCGCTTTTATCGTGCGCAGCCATCATTGTCGTCATCGATTCGCTCTTTCCTTCCCTCGCTCTCTTTCCGGGGGCAATAAAAGTGCACGCTGGACGCACTCGTGGATCATCGTTTGCTGCGCCAAATCCCGAGTTTCTTCCGCCACTATAAATGTGCACGGGGCGATTATCGAGAGACTGCGGCGGTCAAAAGACGAAAAAGAAGGAAAGGATACGCGAGGCGGAAGAAATGGCTGGAAAATCTCGTGGAAATTGGAGAAAGAGAAAAAAATCGTTTTGACTGTTATGGCCTCTTTTTCCCCTCGTATGCGCCATGTTAAAGGGTTTCCTAATAGAGGTCTTTTATTTCCTGCCTGATCGTTTCTCGATCTCTTTTTTATCTAGTTTCAGCAGTGCCATCTTTTATTTAAGAATATCGTGAAAGACAATTTTTATTTAAATCCACGAATTAGCAAGTTTTACCATTTTTTTATTACAGAAAAGCACATTCTTTGCTGATTACAAATAATTTCATTCTTCTTTAATGCGAATTCATTTTTAAATTTGTGACTTAATTAGGAGCAATTTAAAAAAAAACTAAAAAAACTACATGCAATTTGAAGTGTGCCGTTTTGTTCAACTAAAGTGACTTTTTGTTCAAAATATAATAAATGTTTCACAACAATTTTATTGTAACAATTTGTATAAATAAACAGTAATAAAAGAAATGTTTTCCACTGGTTAACAAAATTTTCGATTTCATTTTAGAAAGATCCATTTAATAGAACAGAAAAAAGCAGTTTCCAAAAGTCTCATCTCTTTTTTTTTTCTTCTTAGTATGTACATATGAAGTTTTTCCAGAAGTGAGAAAACTTCACTTTTCATGAGATATGAACTCTCTGCGCTTTTGATGAAAAATTAGAACTCCCTGCAAAGTGTGCCATCGGGAATATAATAAAGTTTTGGCGGAAAAATGAGCTGCCGTTCCTTTGCTCCTCAGCAAACGAGTTTTCCGCGTTCATCATTCCAACTTTGCGAGATTAAGCGTCAAAATTGGACTCGACTCGTCATCGCTCACCTCTAAACTCGCTTTCCTCCCTCGTAGATTATCAATTAAAAAGATGAAACTGCCCCCGGCTTCCGAAAGCTGCCGGTTTTAATATCCCTGCTGTGTCGTGATCTTGAGTTTGACCGAATCGCATCTAAATGCAAATTTCGGCTTCGCCATCGCCAAGCCTAGCTGGTAATGAAAGATAAATGATAGTGAGGTGCTCACGGCTTTATTAAAAGCACTTCGTATGTGGTATTAAATCGGTTATTTACGCCACAAAAAAATATTTGATTAGCGCTTTTGAAAATAGGGGTCTTGGCATTCGAGCGTGAAAATTAATTAACCCGTCACGTTTGTACATGCATATGTAGGAATAGGAGACTATTAAAAGTTTATTAAAAATCGCTAAAAATTAATAATTTTAAATCCGTTTAAAAACCGTCGCAAATAAAAATAAATTAATAAAGTGCACTAAAAAATAGAAATAATGCGTTTAAAAATGATACGATCATTGAACTTTAACATGTTAAATACATATATTTTTAAACCTTTTATTCAATTTGTAATTTTAATAGTTTTAATATTAAACTACAAATTTATTACATTTCCTCTTTATTTATTTAATATTTACTTCTTTTATTTATTTTTTTAATGAAAAAGACATTTATTTTTACCAACTGTCATTTCCTCTTGTTGCTCTTTAATCATTTTCAGCACAATTCATGGAATCAATATATTAAAATTAAATAAATAAGATTTGCAAGCTTGCATTCTTTAAATTTTAAGTGAAAATACAATTTTCATGATCGGTATAGAATAGTTGGTGAGCTTATATATTGTGAGACCATTTGAATTATACTCTGCTGCAATTGAAATAACAAAAGAAATAAAATAAAACCTTGTTGTATTTTCATCACGAGCAAAGTGTAGTAATCGCCTTGTCAAAAAGAGCGATACAGTTGCAGTAATTGCATGTGTTTTTCTCATCACAAAAATCATGTTCTGAGGCAAAATATTTAGAGCATAATATCAAGAGAGACAAAAACGGAGGCTTCAAATTTAATTTGTGTTATTAATTTATGAAGTACTGATTTATCACGGACAAAATAAGCATTGCTAAACGCAATACAAATTCTCTGTTGGCAAATGATTTTCTAATCGCAAAAAATTTAGCTAAAAACAAAAAATCCCAAGACCTCGCAGACAAGCCCAGAATAATTTTCGCAGTCTCAAAATATGCCCGCGTCTCTTTTATTTTGCAAAGCCGCCGGCGTGCGCGACACACCTTTTTTAGCTCTTTCTCCGCCGCCGCCGGAGGGAGGGCAGGGGGTGCGTTCGTTCACCCCTGAAAAAAAGCAGCCCGCAGCACACAAACAGCACATTCACGCGTGTGTGCGTGCAGCGTACTCGCTATTTATTTGCCCGCGTGCCGAGCAGAGCGCGGGGGTTTGTTATTGCATTACGCTCTCGTTTGGGTCTTTATGGATGTAATTTCACCATCAAACACGGCGTATAATGACAGGGGAGCGCCGCACAAAACGCCAGAGTGAAATTTACTTTTATTTCTTTTGCATTTTTGCGCCGCGAAAGATAAGAGAGGCCGTCAAGGTGCACGTGTGCATGATGTGGAAAAAATGAAACGAGACAAACATTGAAATTTATTTTACAACTTTTATCGCACCTCTTTTGGAAGTTTTGCACTTGGGGAACACGCGACACCTAATAGCGTGTGAGACGCTAAAAGCTTTGATATGATTTACGTTTTTTTTACAAGTTGAAAAACAAAAAAAATTTTAGTACAAACAGTTAACTTTTACGGTTCCATAAAAATTTTATTTTATTTTTTTTTAATTTCAACCATCCATGGAAATTGTTTTGCTGATAATTTTTTTCATTTTCACATGGCATATCATCCATCCCTGTTCGATGATTAATTACATTCACAACCTTTCAAATCGTCAAATGAAACACGCCCCTTCAGCATTCCATTTTATTTACAACGCAACAATTAATTAGCGGATGAATTATGTAACGATGAGGGGGACCATTGCCACGGGCATAAAATACCTGAATAATCGAGTTAGCGTTTTGCGAGAGGGTTCCGAGCTTTCAAACCAACGAGCGTGGCGGCCCGATTGCTGAACCAGAATGGATAGGTGCATGCATGGAGGGTTGCCTTG